GAACCGTCACAGACCATGTCAATAGCACTCACTCCTCTCACATATATGTCAGAATTGCAAATCTGGTATGAGCTTGTGCCTGACAGAGATGGGGCATAAGGGCTCCAAAGCAGCCATCTGCTCTCTTTCCTCCTCTCTCCCTATGTGTCATCAGAGTCCTCTGTCTTAGCCTGCTCAAGCTGCTTGGGGTCACTGGCTACTGGGACTTTCTTCCTTGGTCTGCCCTGAGAGAAGCCAGTTGGCTACTACAAGGTGGCCATCTTGGATCCCTACCCAATTATTCTCATGTTTCTATTTATCCCATTTTTCTATGGATAATTTTTAAAAATTGAATAGAAGCTCTTTATATATTCAGAGTACAAATACTCTGTTGGTTACATGTGCTACAATGATATTCTCCCATTTTGTTCCTTACCTTTTCACAGTTTTTATGGTGTTTATAGATAAACAAAAACTTAACATTTATAATAAAACAAAAGTTTTTTTTTTTACTAAAACAATTTAAATATATATATATTTTTTTTTTTTTTTTTTTCTTAAGAGATAGGGTCTTGCTGTCACCCAGGTTGCATTGCAGTAGATGATCACAGCTCACTGTAGCTCCAGCTCCTGGGCTCAAGGGATCTTGCCACCTCAGCCACCAGAGCAGCTTGGACTACAGGTATTGTGCCATCATATCTGGCTAATTTTTTTTTTTAACCTTTTTGCAGAGATGAGATCCAGGCTGTTCTTGAACTTCTATCCTCAAGCAGTCCTCTGGTCTTGGCCTCCCAAAGAGCTGAGATTACAGGTGTTAGCCAGCATGCCCAGCCCCAAATGAATGTATCAATCTTTCTCTTGGCTGGCTCTTTGCCCTCTAAGACATTTTTTCTGTAAGTTCTATATTATTGTAAAAAGTTTTGCACTTCGCATTTGTCATTTTTTAATTTAGTTTGTATTTCTATCAAAGTTATGTATGTGGCTGTTTTAAAGAGCCAGACTTGTATACATTTGTTATGCAAAAGAGTGGACCCACCCTTCCCTGCATGTGCTCACCTGCACCTCCATAACAGACTGGGTGGCTCCTGCTTGACTGGTCAGGCCTAGCTCGGCTGTTGTCTTAGCTGCACAAGAGGTTGAGGATAAGTTTCCACCACATCTACATGTGCTCTTGCCCTCTCCAGCTTTTCAATAGGGTTAGATAAAAAATTTTAAGGACCAAAGTTCCAGCAAGTCCTCAATGAGGTGTGGCCAGATTCACATATTCCTGTGATTCCTGACTGTCTCACCATTGCCCCAGTAAGGTCAGAACATCAACTATGAGGCAGGCTATCCTGAAGACACAGTTGTTCCTGTTTCGTTTCATGTGATACAGATAAACGGGGAAAAGGTGGAAGGTGCTTCTGAGAGTTCCCAGTGTTAGGCACTACCTTAAGAGATGGAGACCCTCGCCCAGACAGGACACTGAGGAGCAGCCCTCTCGTCCTCTTGAGGTACATGTGTGCCATCTCATGACAGTAGGCATCAGCTCCAGAGACCAGAAAACAACTAGGGATAGGAAACCCATTGCTACAGAGCTTGTTGGAGTTTTTCCTGAATCTCCTATTAGATGCTGCACAAAGGCAAGAATTACAACCATCTTGTTCCCTTTGTGTGTCCAGGGCCAGGCACAATGTGCAGCACGTGGTTGGCTCAATAAGAATTTGTTGAATGGCACACAGAGTGATACGTCCAGATCTGAGGCCAGAGGCTCTGAAAGGCCAGGGAAATTTGTCTGATAGATGTCCTGAGGTATTTGAATTCAAGAGGAGATATTCGGATGTCTGATCAAGTTTGAGGTCGAATAAGCGATAAATAGAAAACTGAATGTCTGCAAAAATATAATAATCAGTTATTTTTTTAAAATGATACAAATAAAAAACCTGCAGGAATGGATAAATCATTGTAGTTTTACTATATATCTTAGCTTAAAATAAAGAGAGTATCGATCTACACTTTTCTCAGATTCTTGTCTTATGAAACTAAGCAGGGGTATGCTTTTTTCCAGTCTAACCCCATCTGCCTCATAGCTAGTTGAAGTTCTGGACTTAGTATAGCAATGATGAAGCTGGACAAACACTATGAGAAAGTCTCAGGGGTTGTACCAATATGTGAATTTGGTCATGCCTCTTTGGGGACACGCTGGAAATTTAGGCCACAAGCCCCATGCAGTCTAGAAAGTTGGGCTGAACTCTGATGAGGGATCTATTTTCTCTAAGTCCAGAGTAGCGTCTTAGATCTTATCTCTGCCACAATAAGAGTTTCCAAAGAAAAGTCACCAGCTTTGGAGAAAATAAGTGACACACAAATACACCTACAGAGGTAAAGATTTGACCCTAATCCTTAGAAGAAGATAGCTTGGGCTACTGATCATTTCTGGGTAAACTAGGGCTCTCTGACTGGAAGAGAAGCAGATATGTCTAGAGCTGCTCAGACCAGGACAATTAAGAGTCCATATCTATGCTCCTTGTGACTGTGATTCCTTAAAATGTAGTCCAGTCAGATTTGGAAAATGACCTGCTCTGTCCCACTCCAGGTTTGGTGGTGCTGGAGTTGTCTCAGACCAGGATGCTCATCTTGGGGCATTTAAGGGAGCAAGGGCTATGGAGATGAGCCAGGGGTGCCCTCTAGAGGCCAACAATGTTAATTTTAATTTTAATTTTAATGCTGTTTCTTGTCCCTGTGCCTACCCTGCCCATCCAACTACATATTTAGTAAGAAAATGGGAAAGGCCCATAAGCAAGGCTTTGGGCCCATACAAACAAGTCTAACATCATAGGTAAAATCACACAGCTCCCTAACTGGAAAGACAAAGTCCACGTCCACAGTTCAGCTCTGCCTCCCATCCTAACACTGGCCAGAACAATGCTTTGGGGCATACAGAATGCATTGTGATTTATAGAGTACTCTGCCTTCTTCTTATACTCCCTCCCCACACTTGCATGTTGCTGGGGGTAAACAGACCCAGAAGCTACCTTCAGAGGAGAGGAGAGGCTGAGGAGACTGGAGTCTAACCTCCAGGAGAAAGAGGGCGGTGGCCTCTCAGGTTAGGTGTGACCTAGGCCTAGGGTGAGTAGACTGCCTTAGCCCGCAGGTTCGAGACCAGCCTGGGCAACTTGGCGAGACCTCATCTCTACCACAAAATTCAAATATTAGCTGGGTACGGTAGCACGCACCTATAGTTCACCCAGTTACGTGGAAGGCAGGCAGAAAATCACCGGAGCCCAGTAGGTCGACACTGGGATAGCCATGAGCATGACACTGGACTCCAGCCAGGGTAATGGAAAGAGACTCCAACTCAAAAAAAAAAAAAAAAAGAGTGAATGCCACCCGAGCTCAGCACTAGGGGCAATGGTGCAGCCTCGACCTGGACTTCCTGCACTTATGAAAGGAAAAACAAAACAAAACAGGAGGCTCAAGGCCCTGCCAGGCATAGGAGAGCATGTGGCTGGTAGACCAGAGAGCTGAGCAGCCTGATGGCTCCATGAGTGGCAGCATGAGGTGGTGACTGTGTGGTTTCTGCCAGGTGCTCAGCCCAATGTGTGCAGAGTGGGAACAGCCCTGAGCTCTGAGGCAGTGCAGATTCTGCGAGAGGCCCTAGCATGGCCTGTGAGGCTGATCATGGGGTTATCCAGGCCACACTCAGCCAAAAGGCTATTCTCCTAGGAGGGGTAGGAAGACTGCAGTTGTGAGACTCTCAGCAACCTGCCCCCCTTCCTAGTACATTCTGTACTCTAATTTTGCCTCCCATTCATGCCTGTGGCTGGTGACCTGGGGAAATCCTGCTATAATGTGAAAGCAGGTCTGTAGGTTTCCTGTTGAAACAAACCCCATGGAGATGTCAACAGGTTCCCCCAGTGTACCTGTAGCAACACCCCGAGGAATTGTGTTCTGGCTAGGAGTGGGAAGAGTGGGTGTCAGCTTCCAGCTGGGCTTCCCAGGCTCTGAAACCGATTGTTCTGGGAAGGTGTCTGGCTGGATGACACTGTCCTGGGCCTAAAGAGAAACATGTTCATCATTCCCAGTCAGACTCCAATCTGCCCTGGTTTTCTACAGACCCAGGTCTGAGACAAGTTTCTCTTTCCAATCTAAATAATAACCTCCACAAGATGTGTAAATAGTTGCAGTGTTTTTGAGCTAAGGAGGAGGGGTTAGAGCAATTATTAATCATATCATTTTACAGGTAAGCTGGAGCTTAGTTCAATACCTTGTCCAGCATAAAAGGGAAGAACTAGGAGTCGGCCTCACGCACTGTGGGTTCTTTTCCCAGCATCCTCTTCATGGCCTCCTCTGGGTCCTGCAGGGAGTCTGGGGAACAGGATCTGAAGGCTCTGAACTGAGCTTGGGGGCAGAGCATGCTCCTTGATCTGGCCTCTCAGGAAGACTTCTGGGGACAACTGTCCCCTGCTGACCCTACTGCTGGGGTTCACTAAACTTACAGGGAGGTTGTTTAAAACCTTCTTCCATCATTTTGGGCATTAAATGAAATTTACGCCACAGAAAATAATCTTGTTATACTTTGATCCAGCACTGGATTAAGTGTTTTATGTGCATTATCTCTTTTAGCAACTCACCTTTTTCAGAAGCTGTTCTCTATGTTATAAATGGTTTCACGTGTGATGATAAATGGTCTGAGGATTTAATCCTGAAAACAGAGTGTGGGTGGAGGAAGTTCAATCAACCAAGGCTAGTGGCCTTTCTTCCTGGCCTACAAAGCTAGGCCCTGGGACAGCTGCAGTGAGACTGACAGGAGGCTCTGGACTGGACGCGTCCTGCGGGAGTTGCTGGGCGTGTCTATGGGTACCCTATCCAGACATCCTCTCCACAAAGCCCACGACAGGGGCTCACCACAGCAGGCTATGTATGTGGAGACAGGCCACATTTCGATCTAAGAGCCTATTCCCTCCGTTGATGCATTTAGACACCTCAAGAGAGACAATGTGGACTCTCGGCACCTCTCCAAATGGGAAAGAAATGCTTACTATGAGTCAATCCAAAGTCATTTATTTACTAAAAGTATAAAAACACATACAAAATGAGACTCACTCTTGGCCAGAATTAAAAGATAAAATAATTGTAACGCACAGCCCTGTGGGCAAGGCCACTATGAAGAAAGTATTGCTCCTGAAACATTAGCAGTTTTAATACCCACGCTGTCCCAGACTCTTCTTGAAGAGTTTCAATTTCTAAATTATACTTGAATAAAGAATAAGCTTTATTAAATCGGACTCATAGAAGGATTGTGCTTCTCAAGATTCCCCAAATAGAATTCCAAGGCTCTGAGGAGAATAATCTGTCAGTCCCAGGGGACTTTCCTCCCCAGGAGTTGATTGGTCACTTTCTGTGGAAGAAAAGAAGGGCAGGAAAGAAGTCAGGTCCTTTTGCCATCAGAGGCAGACACCACTCCTCCCACCACGCATGCTGCTGAGGAGAACCAGTGTGTCTACCCAAATCTTGTTTATTTTACTCAGTATATGAAAGTATATGATAATTATACAAAAAATACTTCCCGAAAGGTTTAGAAAAATGATGCATCATCAATACCATCATTTCTATACAGATATAGATAATCTATAATTCTGATAACTCATAAGAGTTGACAACTCTTATGCCACTCAAACACATTTGCTAGTTTATTTAAATAGTGCTGGAGGTATTCGACTTAGCCACCAGTTTCCACAGAGACAAGCACAAAGAGGCCTGGCCTGGTGATGCTGACACACCAGACAGGCATGAAGTGCCTGGGGCCTCCCACCTGAGGCAGCCGCCCAGGTTCTGGGGCATCCTCCAGATGTAGTCCCCCAGTCTCACATCAGTCTGAGATGAACTGGTCTTTTGATTTCTGACTTTCAGAGTCCTCTGGAGTGAGGTGAGGGGGTTGAGCGGGAGACAAGAACAGTGAAGGATATGGCCCTTCTAGCTTAGTAGCCAGTCTGCTTTCTTGGGGAATTAATTGGTAGAAGGGCTTCTACCGACTAGGACTTGGACTTCTTGGACTTGCGGCACCACTGACACCACTGGGGTACAGGCAGGGAAGGGTGGCAGCTTGGTGGCATTTGACGCCCCCCCCGAATGTTGACAACTCTTATGCTACTCAAACACTCTCTAGTTTATTTTAACAGTTCTAGAGGTATCTGACTTAGCCATGAAGGGCATAACATTGCCATCTGCGACTACGGAGTGAAAACCTGACAAGTCTGATATTTTGGACATTTCCACCATGACTCCTGGGCACGAAATCTGGTTTCATTTCAAACGTGAGCATGGAAAGTACTTTACACATTTCGGGCTGGAGTACTCAACCTGATGTGAAATCTAATCACAGGTGCCTTATCTTCTGAATTTCAGCACTGGCACGTTGTGAGTTTGAGTTCCCTCCTCAGAAACGGTTGACTCCAGGGGCATGCTCAATAGATTGGCAAGCTTCTCTCCATTTCTTTCATCTGATAAACCTGATCCATCCCGCTCTCCACAGAGGATGGACTAACCTTTTTATACAGCTGGGCTCGCAGCCGGTATGACTTATATTCCGATCTCCTCTTCTCTTCTTCTCTCTTTTTCCGTACTTCTGGAAGCTGTTCGTAAATCCTTAGGAAAGACAGAAAGCAGGAAGGTTACAAGGGTGTGGAGGATCACGACCCTCTCACCACCTCACCCTGCGCTGTCCTGCTCCAGGCACTCATCTCTCCCAGACAGGCCAGGGCCCTCAGGAGAACCCTGACCGAGGGGTCACAATCTGAAATGGGAGACAGAGAAACACAAATACAATAAAGTCCTGCCAATAGAGGTTACTTCCGGGAAAGGAGTGGGATAAAGGGGGTGGAGGTGAGCTTCTGTCTTCCGCTCCACATGCAAACATGCATTGTTTCAGTATATTAAGCAGGTATCACTATTGTATTTTCAACACTAGAAACACTTTGGAAAAGGAAAGTACTAACATGGTCACATCTAGAAAATACTAGAGAGTAACAGGAAAAAAAGAAACGTATTCTAAAGGAAAGAGGTTAGGAAAGGCTTCAGGGGAAGATTAGGTGTGAGCTGGGTGTGAAGAACAGTTAGGAGCAAAAAGGGAACAGGAAAAGAAGGGAAAAGGGACACTCAAGTTAGGGAAACTGAACCTTGGTGACTCCTCTCTGAGAACCACTAGATTAAAGTATCTCTTTATAGTGTGTGTGTGTGTGTGTGTGTGTGTGTGTGTGTGTGTGTGTGTGTGTGTGTGTTTATGTATGTGTGTGTGTGTATATATATATATATATATATAAAACAGTTATATATATATATAAAAAACAGTTTCCCCTTTAAAATTTATTTTTATTTCTTTATTTTTATCCACTTCATATATATATTTTATCCTCATCAAACATATTTTATTTTGGAGTTGCAGGGTACAAGTGAGGATTTGCAGTATAACTAAATTGTATGCCAGTGGGATTTGGGTTTCTAGCAAGCCTTCTCTACCCCTGGTACCCAGGGTGATTATGGCACCCAGTGGGTGGATGGGGTGTTCCCTGTCCCCTCTCCCTCTCTTCCTCCTTTAGCAGTGCCCAGTGTTTGTTGTTCCTACTTTTATTCTTACATGCTCTCTGTTTAAGTCCTGCTTATGAGTGAGAACATGCAATATTCAGGTTTTGTGTTTCTGTGATAGTTCACGTAGAATGATGGTTTCTAGCTGCGTGCATATTACTGCAAAGGGCATGATTTTGTTCTTCTGTATGGCTGTATCGTATTTCACCATGTATATCACACTGCATTTTCTTTACTCAGTCCACTTTTGATGGGCATCCAGGTTGAATCTGTATTTTTGCTACTATGAATAGTGCTACAATAAACAAACATGTGCAGGTGTCTTTGGTAGAGCAATTTGTTCCTCTGTGTACAGTCTCAGAAGTGGGATTGCTGGGTCATATTGTAGTTCAATTTTTAGTTCTTTGAGAAAATGCTACACTGCTTTCCACAGAAGCTGAACTAGCTCACATTCCCACCAACAGTGTAAAAGTGTTCCTATTTCTCTGCAGCCTCATCAACACCTGTTGTTTTTTTACCTTTTAATGACTGCCATCCTGACCAGTGTAAGGTATCTCATTGTGGTTTTGATTTGCATTTATCTGATGATCAGTGAAGCTGAGAATTTTTCATGTTTGCTGGCTAAACATCCCTTTAAATTATCTATTAGGGTTTACTCAATGGCGAGTAAAAAGAAAATTTCAAGAGAAATACTTAAATGCATAAAATAAATTGTTTTTACGAACCACTACTTTAGAAGCACTGTGCTAAATATAAAACTATTCTTATTAAAGCAAGTCTCCAGTGAACCCCTAACAAAGTAAGCTTTAACTTAGTTATCCCATAACATTATCATAATCAATATGTGCACATCTCAAATGAATTAATTACAAAACATTTTTTATTCTAGTTTTACATTTTATTTTATTTTTGGAGATGGGGCCTCGCTCTGTCATCCAGGCTGAAATACTGTGGGGCATGATCATAGCTCACTGCAGCCTCGAACTCCTAGATTCAAGAAATCCTCCCATCTCAACCTCCCAAGTAGTTAGGACTATAGGTACATGCTACTACCATGCTCAGCTAAATTTTTATTTTTTGTAGAGATGGAGTCTCACTATTTCCCAAACTGCTTTCGAATTTGTGGCCTCAAGTGACCCTCCTGCATCAACCTCTCAAAGTGCTGGGATTACAGGCGTAAGCCACCATGCCCAACACTTGAATGAATTAATGGTAGTTAATGCTTGATGAAAAGTAAAAACATCTACCTCTGTACCTTAGCCACTCAATTCTTTCTCTCAAAGGCAACCACTATTATCAGGTTTTTGTGTCTTTCAAAAATACTCTATGCATATAAAAATATATACATCCATATAAACACAAATATTTCTTTTCAAAGACCACAAAATGTTAACAGTGTACACATGCTTCTGAAATAGGATTTTTTTTTTTTTTTCTGAGTCAGGGTCTCACTGTGTCGCCGAGGCTAGAGTGCAATGGCACACTCACGGCCACCCCAGCGTCAACCTGCTGGGCTCAGGCGATCCTTCTACCTCAGCCTTCCAAGTAGCCAGAACTACAGGTGTGCGCTACCATGCCTGGCTAATTTTTTGATATATTATAGAGATGAGGAGCCACCAAGTTGCCCAGGCTGTTCTCGAACTCTTGGGCTCAGACAATCCTCTCGCCTTGGCCTGGCAAAGTGCTGGGATTATAGGACTGAGCTACCACACCCGGCCTAAATGGGATTTTTTTAAAGTTTAGCTTAATGTGTCTTGGACAGTACTTTTTTTTCCTCACTCAGTTGGATGAATTCCTAGAAATGGGATTGCTCAGATACAGAGTATGGCACAAATAAATATCTTAGTTCAAAATATTCTTTATTTATATTTGGGCTTCTAATAAAGACAAGCCTTACTAAGGCATGCAAATTTGTGGAGGATTTTCTTCATCTTCTGCATATGAGTCATTTATACCATGATCTGCTATTATTATCATTATTATTTTTTTTTTAGTGCCATTAAGTGAGAAATTACTTTCACAACTTTCTCATAATATTTTAAATTGAGCATAATACCTTTATTCTGAGGGGCAAGCAAGAGCTGCTGACCACTTGGTGGCCTGATTTACACTTCTATAATTACTCTTGTTCTTTTGGTCTTACCGTTTAGATCTCTGAATCATTTCCTTCTTTCCAATAGGTTTGTTCTTCTGTGCAGCCAGGAAGACTAAGCAAGAGAAGAAGGAGTTTTCAGTATACAGTGAAGGAAGGAAGGAAGGATGTGACCCTCAAGAGCTGTGAGAGGGAGCTGCTAGGACTCCGTGCCCCCTACCCTGTGCTGACAGGACTGGGTGGTAAGCAATGCCCAAGGCAGGCCCAGGGCTAGACTAGGGTGACTGGGACATTAGCCTAAGGCATTTGATAGCACAGCCTTGACAGCTTGAACTGAAAAATTGGCCAGTTTATAGGTAAGATTGTGATGAAGGCATTAGGTAGTACTTTATTTTTCACAGCTTTCTTGTTATTTTACTGAGATCTTATATTTAGCATATATTTTAAGAACAGACTACCTGGGTTCAAATCCTAGCTTTTACTTATTAGATGTGTAATCTTGGGCAAGGTATAATCTCTCCTTGCTTCAGTTTTCTTACTGAAAACTACTATTGATGGAGATACCTTGAAGAGGTGCTACAAGCATTAAGAGAAAACAGTGTTTAGGTGAAATATAAGGGCTACATAAGTATTTATTAGTATTATTTATTACTAACAAATAAGTATTTATTAGTATTAGTATTACTACCCGATAAGGTAGGCAAGGCTGAAATAGGCCCAATCTTTAAAGTAAAAAACATATTTTTGGAAGAACTTGCTCATGGACACAGAGTTGCTTGATTAAAAACAACAACAACCAAAAAAAGCCCTTCTCAGTGCACACTCTCATTTTTAAGATACAGTACGGGGCTACCCAGATCATGAAAATACTGAGAGCTAGTTGGACAGGTTCTGCTAGCTAAGGAGATTTTAGTTTTGGCAACAAAACATCACTTTCTGTTCCTGTAACTGGCCTGGCATTTAGCAGTGTTCCACAGCCTGGAGGCAGACCTTGCCTTCTCTATTCCACTAACAGGAAAATAAAAAAACAGGGTGCACCTTTCCTGGGCAGAGGGTGCATGGGATTCTGGCAGCCTGGCCATTCTCTCTCAGTGTTGAATAGGGCATCCCGCTCACTCTGTAACATGTTCTGCAGTTTCCTTTCCTGGACTATTAACTTCAGGCGCTTTATCCGCGCCCCAGAGCGGGAGATGAAGTCAGGTCTGTGGAGCTGAAGTGACTCCTAAGGAAGAGAAAAAGTCCCACCCTCACATTAATTATGCAGTTTACTCTCAAGTGCCCAGAAAAAACAAAACAAAACAAAAACAAGACACCTGCCTAATAGGTCTGAAGAACCTGTTTCTAATGCTCAGGAAATATTTAGAGTTGAAGAATACTCTGACACCTCTCTTTGCAGAGGAGTTACAGCAGGAAAACCAAAGGGATCAAAGAAATGCCTTTAGAATAAGCCAAGAACTAAGACTGTGGCAATTACGACTCTCCCAAATGTCAGTGCAAGAGCTTTGCCCACCGTGCTATAGTGAATTTTCTCTTCAAACAAATACATCATTAAATAGTGTTTCCTTTATCCCACAAGAAATATAGAATAAGAGACGTAGTGCCTTTTAAATCCTGTGTTAAGCAGGAATAGAAGTTACATAAAAGAAGGAACACATAAGGCTGCACAACACCAGGCCTCGGAGCATTCCACATGCAGATCTCCACAAACCCAATGAACAGTGCCACAGGTCCTCCTTCTAGTGTCTTGTCCCCAGATCCAGAGAGTGATACACTATTTAGAAAGTTAAACGTAAGGCAGCCTTTGATTAATGAAAAGAAACCAAGCCCCTAGAGGCAGTGAAAACAGATGAACTGCAGAGTGCTGGACCAGAGGGCCGCATGACTAAACCTCAGCATGCTGAGTCACAGAGGGAACTTCTTTGTGTCTGGCCCTTCTTCTCCCTAAACATGGGGCTCAAGTTAACATCACTGCACCTGCAGAGTTGCTCTCACAAACGGCTTCGGTGGATCTCTGCCATCGCCTCTGCCTTGGCCTGCCCCCCGACCATCCATGCGCTGTCCCTGCCAGTTCTGTTCCCGCAGTGGTTCCCTCCAGGGTTTGGTTTTGGTTATTGGTTCAAACCAGGAGATTCCAGGGCCACAAATCTTGGGCAGATTTTCCTTCTTAGATCCAGACTTCACATTTTCCACGGGAACAAACCATGAAATTCCTACGAGAAACATATTTAAGAAGGAAAAAAGACTTCTCATTTTTTACAGCCCTCCAACTCTCATCAGAGACACACATATAATATGTAATATAAACTCCCAGAGACCTCAGCTGTCAGAGGACACCAGGGTGTCCTTAAGCTTGGTTTAACTGCAGGTACTATTCCGTAATTGTAATGCTGGATACTTTGCAAACTTGCTAAGCTGGTGGCTGAGGGCAGGTGGGATCAACATAGTGGCATTTAGAAACAAAGAATCTCGGTCAGGCATGGTGGCTCACACCTGTAATCCCAGCACTTTGGGAAGCCAAAATGGGAGGACTGTTTGAGCTTAGGAGTTCGAGACCAGGTTAGGCAAAAAAGTGAGATCTCATTTTTATAAAAAAATTAGGTGGGTGTGGTGGTATGTGCCTGTAGTCCCAGCTACAGGAGGCTGAGGTGGAAGGACTGCCTGAGCCCAGGAGGTTGAGGCTGTAGTAAGCAGTGATTGTGCCCACTGCACTCCAGCCTGGCAACAGAGTGAGATGAAAGAAAGCAGGGGGGAAGAAGGAAGGAAGGAAGGAAGGAAGAAGGGAAAGGGAAAGGGAGGGAAAGGAAAGGAAAGAAAAAGAAAAGAGAGGAAGATACTTAGCATTGCAAGAGATTTGAAATTTACTGGTTTTTCTGCTACAAAATCTAGAATTAGAAACTGACCTTCACAGGAATTCTGCTTGTTCTTCTTTAACTTTCTGTCCCCAGGATAACAGGTAAAAAGCACTTTCTCTTCAATTTTTTCTTCTGACCAAGAAGTCACATCGCTATTCTCTTCTAATCTAGCCTCGCTAGAACTTGGAGTTGGGAAAGTTATCCCAACATCTCGAGTGTGTTTTTTGGCACCATTCACAATCTCCAAGTTACCTAAGGGGAAAGGACCACAGATGTCTCTGGGAGCAGCCTTGAGGCTGAGTTGACAGGTTTCTTCAAGTCAGTAAGTGAACCCTTTTAATAATTTTAAAGCATACTGCCTTTTTGGGGGGTGGAGGAGTGGGAGGAGAGAGAGGGAGGAAGAGAAGAAAGGAGCGGGGAGAGAGGGAGAAGGGAGAGAAAGGTTTTTTTTTTCTCTGCAAGTCAGCTTAGATTTTACAAGAAAAGAAAAACTAATATAAGTTCAAAGGGAAAGGTTTTCAGTTCTGATTCCAAGTGAGAAAGATGACAACCACCTATATCAGCAGTCACCCAGGTAAGACAGAGATTGACAGAAGTGAAGACAAGATTTTGTTTTATAAAAGCAAAAGGTACAGAAAGGCACAAACTGAAAAGGCTCCTACCCAGTCCTGTTCTCCATTCACTCTGTTCACAACCCATATGACCCCATATGATTCCAGATAATTTTTTTTTTGCACATTCAAGCAATTCTGTTCTCGTCTTTATTTTACTTTAAGAAAACGCTATAGTATGCTATATACTGCTCTGCACCTTGATTTTTCTTTTTAAATTATATATCTTGGAAATCTTACCCTATTAGAACAGACAGAGCTTTCTCATTCTACGTAGGATTTCATTATTTGGATATGCAATAATTTATGTAACGAGTCAGTTGTTGATGGGGATCTAGGTGATTTTCATTTTCTATTATAACAAACAATGTTTCAATGGCTAATCTTTATTGTCTATATGTAAGTATATCTATAATGTAATTCCATATATGCACAGTGCATCTATGGGATAAATTCCCAAAGTAAAAATGCTGGGTCAAACACATTTTGATACGAAAGATCAAATTGCCTTTCATGGCATGCCAACTTATACTCCCACTAGAATACACGAAAGAACGCATTTCCCTATACTCTTGGCCCACACACTTATCATCAAACTTTATTTTTTGCCAATCTGGTAGGTGAAAAATGGTAGCTGGATATAGTTTTAATCTTCATTTACTTTATTATGAGTAATATGAGTAATATTATGAATATTTCATATGTTTAAGACCCATTTGTATTTCAACAGAAAAGTCTGAATTCAAATAATTTACCTGCTTGAATGCCCTTGTTTAACATATGCACATTTTGCTTGTTGCAAAGGGTAGAGTTCGAGCTCAGGAAACTACTGGCAGAAGATGAAATAGAGTCAGAAGAAATCACATGGTTTGCTACCTGGAAAAATAAAAGAGTTTAGTTATCATTACTTGCAATCAATGATACAGTTGCCCAGAGGATAAGCAAGCCTACACATTACCAAGAGCTCTTTCTAATCCATTTCAACTTGTTTAGATGCAGTTGGAGGAAGCTTGAGACAATGTGAACATGTTGCCATGTATTTGTAATAGGGAAGAGAAAGCTGTTGTCCCAAAGCTGGGATAGGGCTTGAGCTATTGGGTGATGACAAGACAAAAAAAGGCTGGGTATATTCACAGGGCTTGGGAAAAACTCTGAAGAGAAGCTTCAGATATTAGCCTAATGCATCTTCAGAATAGAATTCTGAATTCACACCTGCATGTATCTCCGATGTGAGATAAAAAGGGCTAGACACAGCTAATTAAATGACCTGCAGAGAGCGTTTTCCAATTAAGAGCAGACTCAGTTATACAACGACAAACACCAAAGAGCTACAAGGTCCCATGAGAAGTCCTGAATGGAGTATTGCAAACAGTATTAAAAGTCCCAAAGACCTTTTTAGTTATATCAGGGGAAGTAGAGCAATGAAGGGCAAATTCAGGTCAATGAAGCTGATGGTGGAATGTTGACAAATGACAAAAAGATTAACAAAACATAGTTGAACAAACACTATAGCATCAAACAGTATTTCTTAAATGTGCTCATAAAAATATCTCCTGGGGGGAAGGGGAGGCTAACCCAGAAAAATGAGTTGGAATCTCTAGGGAGGGCCCCGGGTGTCTATATTTTGAATAAATGCCAGGTGATTTTCTACTCAGGCAAGTCTGGTCAAGGTGAACTAAAGCCCAAGTCAGGGGAGGAAACTGAGAGTATCAAATCCCTTGAACTAGATAAGCTATATTCTAGGGTCTTCGGGAAACTCGCAACAGAATCTTAGAGAAGTCAAATTATCTTAGACATTTGAAGGTACGAAATGTTTCAATTTTCAGAAAGGTAGGTATTGCAATCTGGTGGATTTAACAATGATGATCTGTAAAATTTAGAATGGATCACCAAGCTGATAATTTCCAAGGAAAATAAAAAATTGGCAAATCTATTCTCAAAAAGCAGGCAGAACAAGCCCTGCCAGATTAACCTTGTTTTCCCTAATAGGTATGGTCACTTGACTGGCAGAGCAAAATAATGTGTAATTTTTTGGAAAAAATGGCAAAAGGTTTCATGGCATCTTTGAGGGCAAAATGGAGTTATATGGGTTGGATGATAATATAACTGGACAGAACAATAACTAGTTGAACCAGCCTTACTCAAATATTATTCCAATACAGACAGAGGTCTTTACTGTGTGGTACATGCTGCATTTGGCAACAAATATTTACTAAGCATATCCCTGGGTTTGGCTCTGGCTACTCGTTCTTAAAATTTTATGTATTGCTGGGCACGGTGGCTCACACCTGTAATCCCAGCATTCTGGGAGGAGAGAGGATTGCCTGAGCCCAGGGGTTCAAGACCAGCCTGGGCAACTTGGCGAGACCTTGTCTCTACAATAAATCAAAAAGTTAGCTAGGCATGGTAGTACGCACTGTGGTTCCAGCTACTTAGAAAGCTGAGGCAGAAGAGCTGCCTGAGCCCAGCAGGTCCAGGCTGCGGTGGCCATGAGCATGCCACTGCACTTAAGCCTGGGTGACAAAGTAAGACTCCTTTGTTTAAAAAAAAAATTGTATATATCAATGTCTTGGAACCATGAAAAGCAGAATAAACTCTCAGATGTGTTTATGATGCTGTCAATATCATAAATAATAACAGGAATGATGGGCCAAATCAAAAAAGAGCATGTTTAATAGGGGTAATTGTAAAGCTCTGTGCATTAAACGAAAGGAATAGCAGCAACTTTGATGAAGTAGAAAAAGGTCTGTGTCTGGAATCCAAAGACCTAAGCCAGTCTCAGATCTTCCCTTTCTTAGCTGTCTCTACTTGAGCAAGCCACCACCTCTTCGTGTCAGTGTTACCATCTAGAAAAGGGAACAAAATCTGCATTTCGAATACAAAAGTGTTAGAAAGAACAAAGGATTTAGATGGCAAACTGCAAAACACTAATGTAAAAACCATGAGACTGCTATGATGTTAAAAAAAAAGTGTCCAAGTACTGAAAGGATAGTAAGGAGGTTGTAACTGATGTGCAACACACTGTACCTTCTCTGCAACACACTGTACCTTCTCTGCAACTGTTAAAAAAGACGGAGGAGGTACTTTAGGTACTGAAAAGGTATTGAGAAGTGCTGCCTTTTTTATTAACAAAATATCTCAGAAAGAAAAAAAAGTCCAGAAAGAAAGGAATAAGTAAAACTCATTTTATCTACAAATGATATGATCTTGTCTGTAGAAAATACTAAGGAATCTACAAAAAAGTACTAGAATAACAAGGTTAGCCAGGTTGCAGAATATAAGATCAATAAAAAAATCAATTGTATTTCCATATTCTAGCAATGAGCAACCTGAAAATAAAACCAAGAAAACAACCCCACTCACAAATGCACCAAAAAGAATAAAATATTTAGGAACAAAGTTAACAAGAGAAGTGCAAAGTTTGTACACTAAAAACTGGGAGAAATTAAAGATCTAAATAAATGGTGAGACACTCTGCATACATGGATTGGAAGATTCAAAATTGTTAGGAAGATTCAAAATTGTGATTCTCCCCAAATTAATCTATAAATTCTGCACAATCTCTATCAAAATCACAGAAATCTACAAGCTGATCTCAACTTAATATGGAAATTCCAAGAACCACAAAATCCAAAAATTATTGAAAAAGAACAAAACAACAAAAAGGAATAAATAGATTGTACGAAATTAAAAAAGAAAAGACAGAGTACTTATATTTCCTGATTTCAAATCTTACAAAGTTAGTAATCGAGACATTGTGGTAATGGCATAAGGATAGGCAAAGACATATCAATCAATGGAAGAGGATTAAAATTGCAAACATAAACTCTTATATTTGTGATCAAATTAATTTTCAACAAAGGTGTCAAGGCAACTCAGTGGAGAAGATATTAGTTTTTTGAACAAGTGATGCTAGGACACTTGGATATCCACATGCAAAAACATACATTTAGATAACACACCATCTACAAAAATGGACTTCAAATGGATCACAGACCTAAATACAAGAACTCAAATGGTAAGATTTTTAAAAGAAAACATAGGAGAAAATCTTTGTGACTCTGGTTAGGCAAAGAGTTCTTAAATATAACACCAAAAGCATGACTCATAAAAGAAAAACATTTTAAATTAGAATTCATCATTACTGTACAAAAACCATATGTACTTCAAAAGACACTGTTTTAAATTAAAAAGTCAAGCCACGGACTAGGAGAAATTATTTATAAATCGTACATCTGATAAGACTTGTAACCAGAATATATAAATTACACTTACCACTCATTAGGAAGACAACCTAACTTTAAAATGGGGAGGCCAGGTACCATGCCTGTAATTTCAGCACTTTGCCTGTAATTCCAGCACTTTGGGAGGCCAAGGCAGGAAAATTGCTTGAACTCAAAAGTTCAAGACCGGCCTAGGCAACACAGTGAAATCTTCTGTCTACAACAAATACAAAAATTAGCTGGGCATGGTGGCATGGTAGTGCATGCCTGTAGTCCCTGTAGCTACTCAGGAGGTTGAGGCAGAAGGACTGCCTGAGCCCAAGAGGTTGAGGCTGTGGTGAGCCATGATTACGCTACTGCAATCCAGTCTGGGTGACAGAGTAAGACCTCAACCGAAAAAAAAAAACAAAACTGAGGAGACATCAAAGAAGATGTAAGTGGCCAATAAGCACATGAAAAATGTTCAATATCAGCAATCATTATGGAAATTGAAGTCAAAAATCACGAGACACTACTTTACTCTCACTGGGATGGCTATAACCAAAAAAGATGGACGATAGCAAGTGTTGATAAGGATGCAGAGAAATGGAAACCCTCATACATTACAGGTGGGAATGTAAAATGATAGCCACTTTGGGAAACACATTGAGTTTTTTAAAAGACAAACACAAACTTATCATGTTACTTAGCAATTTCACTCCTAGATAACCATCCAGAAGAAATGAAAATGAATGCTCACATAGAAACTTTTACATAAATGTTAATCGCAGAATTTGCATTATCCAAAAACATAAATGAAACAATCCAAATGTCCTTTGACTGTTAAAATGTGGTGTATCATACAATGGAAACTATTCAGCAATAAAACTACTGATGTATACTACGATATGGATTAACCAGGAAATTATATTGAACAAAAGAAGACAGCTGCAAAAAGACTGCATAGCATATGACGCTATTAATATTTATATGAAATGTCCAGAAGAGGCAGCAGGCAGATTGAGGGTTGCCTGAGGCTGGGAATGAAGACTGACTGCAAGTAGGTATGAGGGACCTTTTTGTGGTGACAGAAATGTTCTAAAACTGAATTGTGGGGATGATTCCACAGCTCTGTAAATTTACTGAAAATAAATGAACTGATGCTTAAAATGAATGAATTTAATGGTAAATTATCCTTCAATAAAGCTGTTTTTTTAAAAAATCTCTAAAAACATGGAAGAAACTGATAACATTGCCTTTGGGAAGGAGAGCTGGATGCTGAGCAACAGGAGTAGGAAGGGCATTCTTTATCAAATATTTTGTGCCAAGAGGTTGTACTGTATTACCAGTTTAAAAAAATGAGAATAAACAAAATAAAAACTGTGGGGAGGTGTGGCAATAAACACATAGCGGATTCAAGAGGAGGAGTAAAATAACTTAGGCTACAGAAATGTTCTAGCCACTGAAAGGAAGGTGATAAATTGATTCTGCCAATATGTGCTCTCACCACCTGAAGCACAACATGCTTAGTTCCAAGGGGCATGTTTAAATAAGGTACCAACACACTTCAACCCAGGACAGCTGCCAAATTCAAAAAGGAGGGTAGAAACCATACAGAATGGTTCAAAGAGAGAAGACCTGTGAGAAAACACTTCAGGGAAGGAAGTCGGGGCC